TTCTGACAACTAACTAATTTGTCAATAAAAAGAGTGAAAGGGCACACAAAGGGAGCCTTATGCAGCCCTCGCTTCGATGAGCGTGGTGTGATGTGTCGCCTAATCCATTTAAACATGTCAGCTTGGTGTTGCAGCAGAGGTTATGGAGCAGGAAGAGAGGGCAAAGGTTACTCATTCATCCATTATACATACACCACTTAGTTAATGACCAATCTTTCAGACACACATGCACTCAAATGTAGTGGTGTCACCTTCACTTTAAGGGAAATTGTGCTAATTTGTATTCATGTCTTGGACTTTTTTCAACCCTGACAATCATCCTCAGGTCCTCTTGATCTCTAAAGGAGAAAATTATGCTGTAAAAAACCCAGAATCTGATACACTGGCAGAAAGAACCCATTCAAATATATTGTTCCTCTGCAGTGCTTTTCCCTGGATAGTACAGCTGTGAGAGTGCAAGTGTCCAGTGTTAGGATGAATTATAGCCACTGAACTCTAAAACCCAGAAATGCAATACTGCGTTACTGTGTGTGTAAGAGAGCTTGGAGTTAACACAAATCAAATCCTGTTTTAAAACATCAGATGCCAATTGGAGATGCTCCAATTCGTAAAATATCTGAATTTTACTATTTTTCCCGTGCTGAAAATAACCAACATATTTCGGGGCTCATTTTTATGGGTGACGTACAAATTCAATAAAGGTAATAGGCATATAATATAGATAATTAATTGTGATTATGTTATTATTTGGTTTATTTACTGCTAGTCAGAGTTTCTCCCTCTATTTAAAAAGCTGGCTGCATATTTTCTTATGTTTTTCAGGGTTTAGTGAAAAAATTAAATAAAATAGCTGAAAAGCAGAAGTTTGTATCAATTCGAATAGGCCTGATCAGCATTTTTCCAACACAAGGTTAGAGAAATTTTTAATGTTAAAAGTAAACTGTGCTCTTAAATATATTAATGAGCCTAAATGATGCAACATTGTTCTTAGAACAGAATAAAGCAAATATTACAAAATCTTTCATTTCTTTATTTAATTTCCGTTTTATTTTCTTGAATTTGTGTGTTTGCTTTACTGTCCGCTCCTTGGCATCATATGTTCCTTCATATGGTCTTGGTCTAACTCAGCATCTGCTCTTAACTTTGGACTCTTTTAACTATGGTCAGCACTGTGATAGTTTTCAGTTTCCTCTCTTGAAATTGTGATCCCTTTTGAATAGAATCAACAACTGAAGACTACAATGAAATTTGATGTCGTTTTTTTCATTATTGTAGTAAACCTCATGATATCACACAAATACTGCAATATTTTTATTTTCCCATGCAGGTAGAATATGGCTGACTATGATGCAGCTTGATTTATCCTTGGAAATGACCTTATTTCATATTAAGGCTTTACGATATTAGGAAAATATGAAATGAAGGAAACTGCAATGGTTTAAATTATTTGCAATAAATATGTTGATCTCTATTTATTTAGTTCATAGCAAACATACATAATAAGATAACCTGCCTTCTGTCCAGGAACAAAAATAAAATAGAATAATATATCCTAAACTTCCATCTTGACCTTAATGCCATTAGGAGAGTCAACAAATAAATAAACACCATAGGAAGCCAGAAGACATGTTATCTAAATACTGCATCCAGTGATATCGTGATAATTTACTTCATATGCAGGCCTATCCCACATACAGGCAGAGGTGTCAAGTAATGAAGTACAACTACTTTGTTACTGTACTTAAGTATAGTTTTTAGGTATCTATACTTTAATCCATTACTTGTTTATTTTCATACTTCTGACTTCTACTCATTACATTTTCAAAAAAGTATCTGTACTTTCCATTCCTTACATTTTTAAAACAAACGTTACTCGTTACTCTTGGCTTTGGCTTAATGTTTATAAATATTTATTTCACGTCATGTGCTCCATCCAATGCAGATCATTGGCGCCATCCACATCTAGTGAAAACTACTGTAATTGGATGAGTCATATAATGCAAACACTCATTGGTTAGCAAAAGGAAATCATCAGAAGCAAGCAGTTGTTCTTCAAACTGCAAACGTGAATTGTCTATGCCAGGGGTGTCAAACTGGTTCCAGAAAGGGCCGTGTGGCTGCAGGTCAAGTCATTATGTTCAGATTGGACTCCCTTGATGAGATGACTGGAGTCTGGTGTGCTATTGCTTGGTTGGAAAGAAAACCTGCAGCCACACGGCCCTTTCTGGAACCAGTTTGACACCCCTGGTCTATGCCATGCTACAATGTTGGATTCAGAAAAAGATGTTGAAATGTCTAAAAGGTCGGACACAGGCGAGAGCGTATCGAGAGATGGAGACGGAGATCAACTAGACCTCCCTCACTTTGGCCCTTTCTCAAAGAATTTTTCGAAATAGTCGATAAATTGATCTTTCAATTCATATAGTGGCATCTGGCTGTTCTTTTTAAGGTTACTTTATACTTTTATATTTTAAGTAGTTTTTGGAGCACATACTTTTTCACTTTTGCTTGAGTAAATTGGTCAAGTTGATACATTCACTTTTACCAGAGTGTTTTTAAACTGCAGGATCTATGCTTCTACTTAAGTAACAAATGTTTGTACTTTTGACGCCACTGCATAGAGGTCTGCTGCAAGAACTTCCACTTTGTCAGTGTTTCCAACCAGTTCAGCCGAAGCCCATTTACTCATGATTCCACTTGGTGGCGCTGTTTCCCCTTTGTGCTTTGACAGCAAGGTCGCTGACACAAAGAGGGCAAAGGCACAACATCTTCTTCATCAATACAGAGTGAAGCTGCTCTCCTCTAACTTCCCTCTGGAGCTGCTGGTATCAGAAACAAATCTGCTGTGTTGCTTCTCTCTCTCTCTCAGTCGCTCCCTAGCATCCACCGAGCGCTGAGGAGATCTAGGCCGCTTAAAGATAGCTCCCGGCAGCCTCGATGCCACCTCCCAAAATATATCTGCTCATGAGAGTCATCGTCTCTCTCTTCCTTCCCTCCCCCCTCCTTCCTCAGCCTTCTTTTACTCCATCTCCCTTTGGACACAAAGCCGGATTCAGCATTAGAACTTGTTAATCCATATTCATAGTTTCAAAATGAAAATATATTCTGAAGTCTCATTTTGACTGTCCCTCAGTGAAATGATGACATCAAGAACGAATTCATTGAGATTAGTGGGGATTTAGGAGAGACGGCTAAAGGCCGAGAGAAATGTTCAACTCAAAAAGAAAGGACTTGAATAGGAAGTCAAAATATGGAGCAGGGATCTCTTGTTTTTCCTTTGCTGTCCAAAACCACCTTTAGTTAACCAAAATGTTTATATGTTATTAGTTTGGATGGTAATTGGGGAAGAGGAATTCCTTTTCTCTGGATCAATATTTTTAAAACCTTTAATTATTGCCCTGTTTTCATTCCTTACCTGCCTCTCTATACGAGTAAAACGCAGAAAAGAAACCTCAATAACAAAAACCCCAAACAGGCCTTCATAAAAGTCTGTTTGGGTCACCAGTGAATTGGTGCGTTATGTAGAGCCAATTTTCACTCGAAAAAAAAAGGAAGACTAAAAGCCACATGCATCGTCTCAAATGGGTTCAATATTTTTCCTGCTGCCTGCACTGCTGCGCAGGGACCGCAAGTGTGCCCAATAAACCCCCCCCTTGGCCCACATCCACAGAGAATGAGGACAATACTTTGGCTCAGAGTCATGTGTGCCTAATGTGGTCCTTTTATGTGGGAAAGTGGAAGTGCATAGAGATGGGAATGAAAGGAGATCACTGCATTCCTGTTTTCGTGCCCGTTTGATCGGCAAGATCCCGGCAACTCCTGCAGGGCTCCTGCCTGCAATGATGCATTTCTTGAGAAGACAGAAAATGGGGTCCAACAGTAGCGGTACAAAAAAACGGGTGATTTTGAATGATTTGGAGCCACATGACAAGCATAACACAATACTTGGTGGATAAGGATGAGCTTTTCATTTAAACATCATTTACAAATTGCAAAATATATGACTTTCTATTTTCAAAAAGAAATATAGCATAAATTATCCTTCATGTGATCACAAATACATACTTGTGTTAAAAAAGATGAGAAGATCTAGCTTCTAATATGTCTTATTTACGCTGGAGAAGTTCCTGTTGTTGTGGCAAATCTAGAAGATCCTTAGAGATGGTGAAAATGGGATATGATGTCAGAATTTAATTTAACTTATGGCAGAATTTGTGCAAAAGAGAGGGATGAACAGTGTAAATAATTTGCTTATACACAGAAAAACTAGGTAGGTCTGTGAAAATATTTCTATTTTCATATATTCTTTGAAGTAATCTCTGTCTGTTCATCCATCCATCCATTGCAAACTGTTTAAATTGTTATTATGGTAACCATGGAAACCTTCAGCTCCTCTTCACATACAATTGTGCATCTTTCTAAACACCATATTTAGAGCTTAATGGTGTCTCTTGTCATCTAGGTCGAACTCCGGTTTCATCTCATGGATGCCTTCCCCCTGTTTTGCATTTTTCCGTTGCACATTTACATGCATCCATGAGTGTTTACATACCTCTACACACCCGCGCAACGATATCGAGGTCAGAATGATAGACAGAGACTGACCCCCACACCCTCACACCCAGCACACATCCTCGGGCTACCTCTCTGCAAGCTGTTTGCTCATGTAGAAGCAGACCCATCTGCCCCAGGAGAGGAAGAGAACACGGAGGCAGACGGGGATGCAGGCCGAGCAGACACACGCATGGATGTGCACACATGCAAAGCAGGCAGAGGTGGAAGGGAGGCTCAGCGAGGAGGAGAAGGAGGATGGTGGGGATGTGGAGGGGTGCGTGGAGCAGATTTGTGCAGCGTTGCCCTTAGATACAGGATGTCGTAATAAGGCAATTGGAAGAAAGGGGAGAGAGAGAGAGAGAGAGAGAGAGAGAGAGTGAGAAAATAAGCAAAATGGAAACAGGGGAGGAGTTTGAACCTCAAGGAGAAACACACGAGTTTCCCTGTCTGTTCTACAAGCCGACACCCCTCCGCCTGAGCGGAGAGTGGAACGCTCCAGCTCGCTCTGGGCTCTGTTGTTGTGCAGAGCTGCACAAGGCCTGTCTGAGCCAGCTTGATAGAAAGAGGAGGAAGACTTTAAGACAGAGACATGCTGAGGATTGAGAGCTGTGAAGCTGTTTCATCACCCTGTCCAGACCACCAAAACCACAGAGGAGACCGAAGAAGGGAAGCGGGAGAAGAGGGGGAGCATCAGTGAGAGCAGGAGGAAGTGAGGGAGAGGCAAGGTGAAGGAGGAGAAGGGAGGAAGGAAAGGGAGGGAGGAAGGAGGAGGGCCTGACTGACTGACATTGCTGCTGTCGCTATCAGCTCCCTCAAACACATCAGCAGACCGGGCTCTGCACACTTGCTGCTCTCTCATTCCCTTCAGTAGAGAGAGTCTCATCCTCCATCTCTTTCATCTGCTTTGAGCAGAAGGATAGAGAGAAGGAGAAGGAGGGGAGGCAGTAACCCTCTCCTCTCCTTCACTCAGAGACAGAGAGAGAGAGAACAGAGAAACGGTAAAGAACAGGAAGGAACGCAGCTTTGTGTTTGTATTTTGCCGTCTCCTGTGGAACGCCCGGCCAGAGAGCGGCTACCAGGCACCGCTCATGTCCGTGAACTCGGAGAAATCCTCGTCCCCTGAAAGGTAACACCTCTCTGCTGATGCTTATCATCTCCGTCATCCCAGTGCATGCCTTCATTTTAGGTGAATTCTCAAATCTCCCACCAGCAGCAGAGAACAGCACCACTACCGCCACGAACGCCTGCATGTTTTCACTCTTTCTCTTTCTCTTTCCATCTCTGCTGGTTTCTTCCATTGTTCGAGACTCAACACTGAGGCGGTTGCAGAACGCAGCCGTTCCATGCTTTACATGTTATGCTCAGAAATGTTCAGCATACACCAAATCCAGCAGATCACATTCACTCTGAGGCTCTGACAGAACAAAAGCACAGAAATATGTACCTCATATGCATTTAATAGAGTGTATGATGGTGTTTCACGGAGCTTACACAGCACAGAGTGTCAAAACACGTCAACATCAGCTCAGCCAGCAGCAGCACCAGACAACAGCTCCTTATATGACGCACCAGAATGCACGCTGCTCCTCAGCAGTACACATCTGCTTTAGGATGCTTTGGCCAATCAGATTAAATATTGGATATCATAATAGAGCCTGTCTGGAAGTTGATCAGCAGGCCTGTTATCGGTCACAAAATCCAACATAAAAGCAAGCATCATGACCATGGAGTCGCCTTTATGAGATTCTAGTATGATAACCTTGAGTAAAAATGTCACAGCATTTCAAGGTAAAATTCAAAGCACAAATCTAAACATTGCACAGGATTTAACTATGTCTTTTTAAGAATAGAGAACCAGCAATTATTCCTACTGCTGCTGTTATAATGAAGCATTATTTGAATATTACAGTTGGATTATTATATTTACTTTGATAGATGGACCTTTAGTCCTTATTGTGTCAATCACTGTTAAGCAATAGGGAGTTAAAATGTCACCATTGTTTTTTTTTGGTATTTATAAGCACAAGCTTTCAATGGTTAGAAGAATGCAGTAACTGCTCTAAAAGTAAATCTCACCTTTTACCTGACAGACTACTTCAGTGCTCGAGTTACACCAAGTAGTGCTTGTAGACATTAATCACTATAAAGGATTTTAAAAACATATTCTGATTAGGCATGCACTGATTAATTGGCACAATTTCTTAGCTTTGGATTAACAACGATTGGGTGAAACATGTGGAAACCGATATGCAGAGAACTTATCTACCTTCTCAAAGGTCTGAAGATGCAGTTAAAAGTTTAAATTGTTGCATGGCTGCTGGTCTGTGTTTTTCCATAAAATGGGATTGGAACAATGAAGCTGTGTTGCGACCTTATAACACCTGATTGTCGGTTATTAAAAAATGAAATAAATTTGTATTGCCAGACTTTAAAGATTAGTGAACAGTCACAAAACTGCATTCAGTGCACCCCTTAATGTGGATATTTTTTGATGCTCTGATGAGATAAAGGTCAGTTTCTGTTGATTGCAAACATTAATAAATATACTTTATTATGATCCTAATTATTGCAGAGACAAGGGGAATTCCCATCCGTAGTGAAGGATCTTATATTCTGCCCATAATGCTATAAGATATGTATGACTGGGTGATGATACAAGGAAATTGCACAAAAATTTGAATAAGAATGCTTTTTGATGGCTAGGAGTTGTTGAATTTTGGTCAGAGAAACAGAAATATGTTTGAAAAATACTCCATTGTCAGGGTCAGATTAAGATGAGCTGGGTAGTCAGTTGGCGATTGAATGCTTCAAAGAAACACTGGATCCAGTTATTCTCCAAAACAATGTCCGTCTTTGCTTCTAAGATTGTTTTCAAGGAGTTCAGGTATTTTTTTCACTTGTGGGAAAATATAGTAGCCTTTTTGTTAAGCCAGCTGACCTGAAGTGCTCAGTAAAACACAAGGGAGGACTGTAAACGACTGCAAGTTCCTTTCTTTGACATGAGCAACTCTGGCATAGGTCTTAAGTTTAGGAATTGGTTCTGTCTTGCTTGTCTTAGGCTCTGTGTGTCAAATGACTGTAAAAGGTGTCGCCTAACACCCATCAGTTGATGAGGAGCATGTCGTTGCTCTTGTCATGCCTTGTCCTTCATTCTACGGCTCCATGCAGCCAGAGAAACCTAGGCTGACTCTGCGCTTTTTTACTCAATCTCATTAAAAAAGAGCTTCAGACCTGAGCGGTGGCATTAAAGCCATAATATTTTTAGATACTACTCTATTCCATGTTAGCAGTAATTAGCTGCAGCTTTATCTTTGAGCATAAGGACATATTCAATGACATGGTTTGAATTTTAACCTCTAGGGTGTTGAGGCATGGGAAATAGTCGTAGTTGAGAACCATCCAGGTCTGGCTCCTAAATAGAGATGTGCTTTTGAATTATTTGGATCCACTCCTCTCCTCTCATGCAACCTCTGAAGATCAAAGCGCAGACAGCTCTTTATTTGCATTTCACAAACACAACTTTATAAAAGGTATTCCTTTAGCATTGTTCAGCAAGTACACAGAAGCTTTGTGTTCGCTAATATTCTGGTTACAGATCTGAACTAAAAAAAAAGCATACATTTTATGATAGGCTGATTTTCTTGACTTCATTTAAGAGGCATCCATGTTCATTCAGCTTTAATCGGGCCAAGGCCCACATTCCTAAAGTGGCATGCAGAAAGAAGCAGAAGGAGCTTGATTTGACGGACGCCGGAGGGCTGAGAGAAGGCAGACCGGATGACTCGGGTAGCCTCTGATGCGCAGGTTTTTGCGACCGGAAAGTGCTGCTGCCATCCACAAGGCCCTTTGCCAAAGCCCCTGATTGGCACGCTTCAGCACATACTGCAGTGGGTGCACAGATAGGCCAAAACTAAATGGGGACAAAGAATATGAGGCACGATTACACAGATAGTCGGGCAGAGCGGAGAGTGAAGCAAAGCGGGCACATGCATGATGTGGCAGAGGGCACATGCAGACTGTGGAAAGACCACGGGAAGGGGATTAAGACAAAGAAAATAGGATCTCTAATCCACAGCAAAGGCCTCAACGATCATATGATGCATGTGGATCGAGTGACAGTTTATCTGTGGTGAGATTTGTGGATTTCACTGCTCAGCTTGTTTAATCCTTCAGCTATTGTCTGTTTTCCACCGATCTGTAATTAAGAATAACGCAGCTTAGTGCTGCTGCATGGCAGGTATCAACTAAAGGAGATTGTCCTGCATTCACTGCTGCTGCCCCCCCTTTACCTCTTGCTACATCTCAAATGACCCCTTTATTAAGTTCCCATAATTACGCTTTCAGGTCGTCTCTTCTGTGTTAATGCATATGGTCAATGTTTCATCATTACATCACAATTCTTGTTTCAATTTGTAATAATCTGTCTGGACCTCTGTTATAACAGTGTCTATATTCTGTCCCATGATCAATGATCTAATATTTGATCCTAAAGGATTTCATGTTTGTCTGAATGCAACTTTCTGCTCTAAAAACAAAACTAGCCGATGTTCTTTTCTTGTGTAAAACCTGGACAGCAGAGACGAACGCTTCCACGCTCAGTTCAGAAGAGCTTTATTAGTGTCAAGGCATGTTTATTCCACAGCGATGTGGACTTGGTGTGTGTTAAACCAAACGGATTGGCAAATTAGGCCTGAAAAGGGCAAGATGTGGCAGAGAGACAAATGCCTTTCAAGCGATCGCATGAGGAAGACGATCCTTGTTGTGTAACCCAGTCCTCAAGGCATGGCGAAGATGGATGGAAGACAAGGTGTGTGTGTGTGCGAGGAGGGGTGTGTTTGTGAGGGGATATTGAAGAGCTATGTTTAAGCAGCTTCTGACATACAATTTTAGATTATAACCACTGCTTCTCCATGGAGGGTTTATGTCCTTTGAAGAGTCTTAGACTAAGAATTAAAGGAGAGTTTTTCTAAACATCAGGAGGTCAAAAGTTTACAGGCTTTGCTGCAAAGCGAGAGTGCAGCTCTGTATGATGGATTGAAGGGGAGTGCTTAAGTACAAAGCTTAATGCTTTTGCGCTTTTATTTTGCTGGAAAAGTTTAAATTTGTAACTTTTTGGTTCTGATATTTAGAAATATGATGATATTTATTCTATATAACATGTTTTAAGTGTACCAGCTTATATTGCCTCTAAAAACTACAAGTACACCCTAAAATTTTTGAAAGTGTCAAATTAAATGCCAATATTTTGGGCAGCGGTACATTGTTTTTAATCTTCCTTTTATCTAAAAAGTCCCGCTAAGCAATAAATAAAACATTGTTTTACTTAAAGTAGAAAAGAGAAGATTATTGTTTTTTATTAGATGTATTAATAACAGAAAAGCTATGTGGTTATCAAACCTTTTGGGTTAATTTGTGTCCATATGTTTTGTCTAAAAAAGGTTCATACTCAGTTCCTGACAACAGAAGAAGGAACTTTATCTAACACTCCTTGCTCTAGTTAGAAAAAACTACTGAATAGGTGTGCCCAAGTCTGTTGATGACGAAAAATTCTCGAGATGTTTTTTGCCTTACCTACTATGATGGTTAATAAAATACCAGTGATAATTAATTCAACTAAAAGCTGAAAAACATTGCTATTAAAATGAAAATATTTTCAAGTTGTACGTAACATATTTCCTTGAGGACGATAAAGTTCCTATTACTGTTTGCTAAAACTGGTCGTGTCGAAAAGGTCTGTTTAGTCGAAGGCCATGCCATGGGACATATTTAAACTGCTCTTGATCTACAGACCAGTTCACACAAGATTATTAGACTTAAACAAACTTTATCGCCACACAGAGTGTATGCAAAACGAGATTTTGTTGCCTCCAGCTTAAAAAAGTGTGATGATATTGCAGTTGGATTAAGATAAACATTACCAGTATTAAATGCAGCAGTGACCAGAATGTAAAAATAAAGGAGAAAAAGAAACCAGTTTAAAACAGTGCTGCAAAAGGACAATAATATGAAAAAGTTCTGTGAAGTGCAAAATAAATATGGTGCAAAATGCAATAGAACATTGAGTTGTGTCCTATTTAAAAAGTAAAGTTTAGATTTCAGCAGTCTGATGGCAATGGGGGAAAAGCT